CTCATTCGCATGTGGTAGTTTCCCTAAATAAGGGGACCCTAATATAGACCCCAAAATACTATAGTCCCTATTATAGGGACCCCCAAAATGGTACCCCTAATTTTGGGAAACCCCCATGTAGTTTCACCAGCGACTTTGAGCTGAGTTGCGCAGCATGTGGTGCAAATGCCCCTGTTGGTCAGCTGCCAAAGGCAGAATTGCACCTCACTCCTCCCCAAGGGACAAGGCGGGATTTCTGAAGCTGTAAGCAGAGTCCTGAGAATTAAGCCTTCCCTTCAAAACCGGATCATCCCTGTGTGCCCCTTGTTTTCAACATACTCTGCCGCCAGCGTTGAAATCCGCTCATCGACCATCCTACATCCCATCACCCTTCAACTAACCCCCAAACTCTAAACCCANNCCCAACTCCATCCTAAACCCTGAACACCCTTAACCCCCATACCTCAAATCGAGTCCTTGCCCCTGATCCCATTTAGCCCCAAGGACGCAGGGAAGCTAGGAGGATTGCTCCGTGGCGTCAGCTGCAGCTACTTGGCCAATGAGTTCCTGCAGGACACTTAATCAAGCAGTCAAAATGGGGCTGTGGCAAACCTGGGCAACCCCTGCGACCCCAGTGATGTATCCCCCAAAAGAAAGAATATGGGTACCCCCATAGTCTGTTTTTAGGAGTCCCATGATGAGGACCGTAGGATGTTGGTATCAAACATTGGGGCGGCCTACCAATGAACCTCTTTAGTGGATTTCTGGGCTTTCGGCTCTCTAGACCCCAAGCAATAGTCCCAGAGACACATTCTTCTGCAGGTGACCCTGAAACCATACGCACTCAGTCCGGAAGTCCTGAAAGGACAAAATCCTGCAGATACAATGATTCCTCGGGTCCAGCTATGTGGCCATTTCCCTAAATAGGGGGATAACAATATAGACAGCGAAATACTCTAGTCCTTATGATTGGGACACCCAGAAAGGTTCCCTCAATTCTGGGAAGCACCCATATGATCATGCAGGAAGTGGCCATTCATAGTGCCACGCCCACTCCTTCAAATCTACTTTAGGGTTTAGGGTCTAGGGTTTCTTCAATGTTCACGGATGGTAGGGGTAAGATGATGAGTAGGATTCGGATAAAAATTCGACAAAGCCGGATCCGCAAGACCTCTGTGTAAAAGACAGCTGACCCACCAGAACTCCCTAAACTCTCGATCCCTAACTTCAAAGCCCTGCACCCTAAACCGTAATCCTAAACCCCAAACCTTTTTACCTCTCTATCCCACGACCGTAAACCGTAAACCCTACACTTCTGAGCCCTTTCTGTTTCTGTGGCTTCGTGGAGGAGATGCAGGAAGCCGGTCACGAGCGGTCCGCGCCCGTGCTCCTGGGTCCCGAGAGATAGAAATTCATAAGCCCTATAAAAACCCTAAACTCTACAATCCCTAAGCCCTGAAACCCTGAAATCCTAAACCCTTACACCCTGATCCCCAACCCCCCCCTTGGCAGACCCTATGGGCCCTTTCTATTTCCAAAAAGTCCCTCTCCTGCCTAATGCAGAGCCCTAGGGGTGTATGGGCTTAGAATGAGATAGCCCAGGTTTTCCCATAAAGTTAAGGGTTTAGGGTTTATAGTTATGAAAGTTGATGCGGGTGACACTATCAACTATGGTATGACAGACCCAAGGCTTAAGGTCTAAAAGGGTCTGTTTCGGTGTTTCAGCTTCAGCTTTTCGGGTTAGGAAGACATTCGTGTGGCTGAGCTTACCGCAAGCACAGATTCCACATTGTTTTTCAGCTACTTCCTGCCTTGACTTAGGTATGCTGTTGAGGCAGATGTGATCCGGAAAAAGGGAGAAACCTTGATGTGTCCGCGTGACAACCGCCTTGGCACCGCTTACGTGGACGCCGTGGCAGATGGTTCAGCAGGGAAGTCTGACTACATGCTACCTGCTTGTGCTTACTGGGGATGGGGGGAGGAAATCTAGGTGCAATTATGTTTTTGCTTCTTAGGGGGATCCACTCCCACACAGCCCGATAAGCACCAGTAAGGCTATCCTACAGCTGGGCATATCCGGTGGGTGACATAGCAGATACGCTTTGCAGCTTCTTTGGTGGTGCGAACCTGCACCAGTACTTCATCTGGATTCTTGGATCCAGTCGGTAGCTTCAGAATCGGGATCCGCTCTTGGGTCATCAGAAAACTGCAGTTCTTATATGCTGTGCCCAAAAGCGACATGATTTTGACAACCTTCTGGTGGAAGACTTGTTTGTTCTGTGCGGTCTCCTGTGAGTAAGCATGCAACATTCTATGTTTCTCTCAGAGACCGGAAAACAAAGGATATGCTGCCTGTGCATAAACCAGCACCGTGTCAAAGAGGCCCACGCAGCGGGAGAAGTCATCTCCTTTACAGAATTCAAAGAGGCCTTTGGAGTGAGGGTGGCAGGAGTGTCCCACATCCTGGCGATGATGAGCCCCTGGAATGATCCGCGGTACATACGAAGAGTTTGGTGTGTCTTCGAATTCAGTGTCGCCATGAAGGAGACCGGGACCAAGTGGGAGGTCCGTGAGATCCATAGTAGGGTGGCATTTGGGTGATCCCACCGTCCAGGCAGCCGCGGCCTGTTACTCTAAGGTCCAAGTTATGCGCCCTTTTTTTGGGGTCCATACATACCTATACTATAGTAGTTTCCATTGTCTTCTCCATTATCTCTAGATAATCCCAATATCCGTTGGCTTCACATAGCCTGTAAAACCAACCCTTTGGCGCAATGGGGATCCCTTTAGCTGCATGATCTGTAGGGATACTGGAAAAGAACATGGAACCTACTATGATAAGTTTTATGGGGAGCATGGAAAGTGCAGTGGAGACTATAATGGGTTGTATGCATATTGCGATCATGTCCACGACGTAGCAGCATCTGTTGGAAGCATGGTTTGGTTGTGGGGAGCTTATGGCGGGTAGGCAACACAAATCATTTTGTCACCAGGTAAGGGTCCTACCTGTAGCCCCAATACCTATGCGTCATGTCTATGAATTAAAGGCTAATTACAACTAAAGGGTAGGTAATTCGGGGTTAGAGACAAGTGTGGAGAATTTTCGATATCTCGGAAGGAGCAGAAGCAACTGTCGGTACTGATGCCACCTTTCGAGGAGGAACCTCGGGATCAGGGTTTAGGGTTATGAGTTGAAGGTTTACGATTTGACGTCTATATATGCTGTAGGGTTTAGGATTCAGGACGTGGGCTGGAGGATTATGGGATATTTTTCGGATTTGAGGGATTAGGGTTTCCTGTTATCAGTTGCCCTCAACCCTAAACACTAAACAGTTTCAGATTTTGGGTTCGCTGCCCGGCTCTCCGATTTATCCCTTCTTGTGTCCTTGGAAGAAGTAGAAGTACATGAGCCATAGCCTAAACTCCTAGTATCCCGCTAAATTACCCCTACAGTAGTCCCTTATATAATCCCCCATGTAACCCAATTTAAGGAGTTTAGACCCTAGCTCATACGAACCATTGGTAGGCATGGTGTGGGATCCTGATATTGAGTAAGCCCAAAATTTTGGTGCTGTGAGTTTGCGGCGCTGACTTGCGGGGTTGTCTTTTGTTTTAGAAGTTGTGCCTTTTGAGTTTTTAAGATTTGGGTTCAGGACTTGCAGCACGGCCCTGTAAAGGCCACCGTCCAGGGGTGCTCAGGGTAACGGACGCAGTTTGCGGATGTGGAGTCCTGCTGCCAAATCTTTATCTGTGTTGGTAATGCCTCCTCCTCTGCCTGCCCATGCAATCTATCTAGTTATCCGCCTATTTGCCTTCCATAGGTCTGCTATTACTTGTCGATTCACGTCAGCATGGGCGTTACCTATTAACCACTCTATGATCCCTTGTTCCTTTCATTTTCCATCTTCTAATCCATTTGATTCTCCATTATCCCCTATAGCCCCTAAACCCAAAACCCTATTGGGGGGTAGCCCTGATAGAAAGACATTTTTGCGTTTCCCTGCAAAGCCCTACGCTTGAACATCAAACTCGATTTAGGGTTAAGGGTTTAGGGTTTGCGTAATGTCCTCAGACTCTGGAACCCCTAAAGCCTGAACCCTTCATAGGGAGACGGTTGTTGTAAAGAACGCCTATCGCAGAACCGCCTTAAAGGAAAATGTATTATGCCTATGTATCACGAGGACCATGCTTCAGTCATTGTATTCCAGATATCCCGTATACACCAGCAGTTTTTAATTAGCGGGGATATATCCATCTAGGGCCCCCTACTATTGAGAAGCCGCTACATCTCCATATGGGTGTTTCCAAAAATGTGGGGCGCTAGCATTCGTCCAAATATATGATGACCCTTATTGTTAGGACTGCCAACAAGGGGCCCCTAAACTACGGAAAGTCTAAACCCCCCCAAATCACCACACAATTCCAGTTTCCATTTTCCATTTTCTTTTGATATGGAATCTCTGGTATTGGATTAGCATCCTTACATGATCCCCATAAGTTGGAAACCCTAGACCTATATCTCTATGGAACCCCTAGGCCCCGTCTAAAGGGATCCCTAAACTCTAAACCCCAACCCCTAAACCCTAAACCCTGAACCCTAGACCCCAAACCCTATCCTGTAGGAAGCCTTCCGTGCCGAGCTCTTCCGCAGCGGCCTGCAGGGCGTCTACGATGTCTTAGCCTCGCTGAGGATACAGGAGCTTTGGGTTTAGGGTTCTGAATTTTGGGTTTTGGATGGAGGGTTTTGGATTTAGGGTTTAGGATTTGGGATTTAGGGTTCGGGTTTAGGATTTAGGATTTAGGGTTTTGGATTTAGGGCTTGGGATATAGGATTTAGGGCTTTGGGTTTAGGATTGAGGGTTGAGGGCGTATAGGGTTGAAAGGGCTTATGTAAGGGGTTAATGTAAGGGGCTCATGTAAGGTGTAAGGGTTAATGTAAGGATTAATGTAAGGGATATAGAAGGGGTATGGTTTGGCGTTTAGGGTTTAGGGTGGAGGTGTTGTGGGCTTTTACAGGGCTTGACTAGAGCTTTGAGGTGTGAACGAGGGGATGAGGCAGGGGTTAGAGACTAAGTTATAGATGTTTCAGGGGGCTGTGGATTTTGAGTGGAGGATTGAGGCTTTCGTGCTTGGGAGTTAGAGGGTTGCGGTTTGGAGGGGGGGGGAGTGTTTTTTTCTTTCGGGTTTGAGAGGTTGATGGGTCAGGATTGTTGTTGTTTTTTTTTCAGTTTTAGGGCGTCATTGTTTTGCGACTTGGTTTCCCGAAAGAGACGCTGAGGAGATTGCTGAACATGTGTGCCCTTCTTTTCATGCATTATATACTTTAGGAGGACCCCCTCACCCTGTANNAAGGGATAATAAGGATTATACTAAGGTCCTATTATATTCCTATTATACCACTATTACAGGGTGGGGGGGCTCCTCCTAATATGTACCCTTGGTTTTTAGGCTGCGAAGTGCAGATGGTGGTGTTTCTGGTTTAGGGTGTGGGGTGTGCGGGCGTTGAGGTGTAAGGACTTACCTGCAGGATGCGAGCTTTGTGGAAGTCTCAGAAGTCTGGGCCTTTGTTCCGTGCATTCCGACGATGTAGGAGGGTATGACATGTGGATCTTGTGAGAGCTTACAGACGGCATAAAGTCGCTTCGATGGGTCGACAAGGCTCTTGGAGGAGCTCTCGAACGCGCGGTACGTCATGCAGCCGAAGCTCAAAACATGAAGTTTGAAAATGTTGAAGCCCTCTCCGGCAATGGCCACCCAAAAGTTCCAAATCCTCAAAACATGCAGAGGCCCGTACCCGTCAAACCAACTGCTGTGCAGCCAGGATGCTTCCGCCTCAGTGGAGGAGGACAAGGTGGGGAGTCCAAGAAACATCAAGTGTAGTGGTTGCCAAGCGAGGAACATGCTCTCCGCTCCCGGTTTGACAAGATGACAACCCATGCTAACAAGGGGTTGATAGGGTCCAAGGATTCGGGTCTGCGGTGTAGGATGCAGGGTTCAAGGTTAGGGCTTTCGTGCAGGCGCGTAGTTCTTCAATATTAACGAAGTGTGCCTGCGTGTCATCAGGTGTGTGTTAGCAAACACCTACACCGCGACAACCCTAAGCAATCCTCCAATCTTGGCTTTTGAAGAGAAAACGCTAAACCTACTGGTGGTTAGAAGGGAATAAGGGAATATAATCCCGACATAGCCCCTATGTAACATATTTGGGGGTTTCCCAAAATTAGGACTACCTTTTTGGGGGTCCCCATTAGAAGGACTATAGTATTTTGGGGTCTATATTGGGGTCCCCTCATTTCGGGAAACTACCACCAGTGAGTAAAGTCCAAAACGTCAGACTATTGCTCATCTTGGAGCTGTTGACGTAAAAAGCTCTGAGGCCCAAACATAAAAAAGAACCAGTGGCGTAGTGAACATAGGTACCATGATAGGGGTATATATATATATATAACTTATATATATATATACATATATGTGGGATTATAGGGTTTGAGTTTAGGGTTCAGCGTGTAGGGTCTATGGTTTTAGGCGTAAGGGATGTAGGGTCATATTATGGGCATTATATACGGAATATTAGTTCCTTCGGCACCAGTACGACAACCGAGTTCCGGACCCATGCTGCAGTTTCTTTTATGCATCCCGTGAGATCCTATCTATTGAGACTTACTGGGGGTTAATAGGGAATACCGGAATATATCATATGGGGATTGCTTGTATAGGGAGTGCCTTCACGTATATTCCCTACAAAGAACCAGTGAGTCAAGCGCAGATTTCCAAGACAATTCAATGGTGAACTATGTCTCCCGAGACCCTAAGCCTCAAGCTTTGAACCCTAAACCCTAAACCCAAACCCTATAATCCCCATTCATACCCCTATAATGGTACCTATGTTGACCTGGGCACGGCATATTCCAGCATCGGGGGGTTGTGGCTCACAGCTTTGACGGTATACTGGCCCCATACGGGGACTTAGTTATATAGGGGATACTGGAAAATAAAATGGAATCTACTATTTAGGGTTTAGGGTCATGGGGACTACGGGGATAAGTGGGTTATTGTATGGTTTATACGGGCTATCAGTATACTTACTAAGTCCCCTTGACCCCCCAAATAATCTGAATCATCGAGGTGAAGCTGAAGATCCAAGAAGCCACAGGCAAGTTATTTTTAATGCCAAATCTGACATAAACAATCAAGCTGCTTAGAAATTCCAAAGGGTCCCATGCGCCTATTGCGTGTTACCCATGTGCAGAGGCTTGTGAAAAGAAGGCTCATGCCATCCCTAAGAAAGATCCCTCTAGTGCCTCTATCCCGAAGGACCCTGAGATGAGTCACCCCAAACCTACCATCCCTACAGCATAACCGTGGACTAATCACAAAATTAGAGGGTTCCTTCATCCCCAACCCCAAATCCTCAGCCCTAAGCCCTACATCCTAAACCGTGCCTCCCTGTACTCTGGGCCCCTCGAGGTGAATATCCTGAAGACTATTGATCCGGAGGCCTGGAGCTTCAAAACTAAGCGATTTTAGGCTTGGACTACGTATGG